CCCCCCCCGGACTCTCGTCGAACCACGTCTTGACGGCTCATCTGGGCTATCTCTGGCTTATCATGCCGGAAGTTGCGATCCGTGATAAGGCTCGAGATTGGCGCCCCGACTTCGTGCTCGACATCTGCCCACCCTCCCCCTCGCGATAAGGACTTCCCGTCCCTGCGTGTTCCCCAGGTTCTTTCCCCCAGCCTTTGCGTCCCTCAGATCTGATCGGGGCCATCCGGATCGACGACAGGGTGCAGACCAGATGCAAGCCCGTCCGATTCGATCCCGTGAGGCTCCAAACGGCAGTTGAGGCGGGGCGGTCACACGCGGCTGAACGACCGCCCCGCCAAGTCGACCCTGACATGACAAGACACAATGCGACACGAACAGTCACAGGCAGAGCGGCAAATGAGCAAGGACTTTGGAACAAAACAAAAAAAGGACAGCCTCGTGAAGGAAAAAAAGTGGAATCGCTCTCTATTACAAGTCTATTCCCAAAACAAAACGAATTCTCATGATACATCTTTGTTTCATTCTCCCCGCCTCGGCGATGGGCGCGAGCTCTCTGTCTCGGCTCTCTCACTTCGCGGCGGCCTGACGGCATCCTGCGAATTATATCGCCAAGATACCTTGCACAATGCGCTCGGTCGTGTTCTGCAGCGGCATGTATCCGAACCAGTCGGAGAAGTCGCGCAGGCAGTCGTTCCTCAGCTTGGCGTGGCCCGGCTTACGGCTAATGCCCGACTTGGGCTCCGTGTTGACGGGCAGGCCCATGCCGTGAACCTCGAGGGGGCCCTCGCAGGACAGCATGGAAGAGACAAAGTTGAGTGCGATGTCCTCGCAGTTGAAGTGCTCATCAATGGCAGTGCGCAGGCGGGTCATGAGGGGGTCGGTGGAGGAGAAGTAGTCGAGCACCTCAATGTGAGCGAAAGCCAGGCCCGTCAGCACAAGGGCGTATTCGGAGCGACCTTTCTCGCGGCAAAGGCTGTACTGGTAGCTTCCGGGCCCGCGAGGGGTGTCGACGCAGCGGGCAAAGGCACCCGTGAGGCGGTGGCGGCCGTACTTGCGCCAGGTCTGGAAGACGAAGTCGAGGTCGGCGGGCGGGTAGTGAACATCGTCGTCGGAAAGAAGGATGGCCTTGGTCTTGTACTCTGGGTCGGGGAACAGCTTCTCGTTCAGGGAGTTGCGGCGGGAGACACGGTAACGAACGCCGACACCGTGGGCGGAGACAAAGTTGGGCGGGGGCGTGGACTCGAGGTCGTTCCACACGATGACGATTTCGTGGAGAGAGGGAATCACGCTATCTGTGAGGAGGTGGAGCGTCTGGTTCAGTTCATCGGGACGCCGGTACGTCTGAATGGCAATGCTGCAGAAGGGCGCGATGTCAGTGAGTGGACTGGTAAGCGACGGCGGACGAGGTGAGACATACGTGAACTTGTCATCCATGAGGCCCGTGTATTTGGATTGCGACTCGTCCCACAGGTTGAGCGATGCCACCTTGTCGCGACCGGCGCACTGAGGACGCAGGACGCCATTGTCGCTGTTGGAGGAAGAGCTCTTCTGGGCATCGGCGGTGCCGGTGTTGACGTGGGGAAGGTGCACTTCAGGGCCCCACGAATTGAAGGAAAAGAGAAGAAGGAGACTGGTGGCGAGGGCGAGGGCGAAGAGGACGTGCCGCTTGGTGAGCCACTGGGGGAGGTTCTTCAGGACCGAGGTCGTCGTGGTGCCATCGGACTTGTACATGGCGGGCATCAAATGTCGGGGATTCCCTGGACGGGCGGGGGTGGGGAGAAAGAGAGTGTGGTCGAGGTGCCCGGCGATGGAGAGGGTGCTCCAACAACGTGTCGCGATGTCGACGTCGATATCGATGTCGCGGAGAAGAGGGTTGAAAGAAGGCAAGTCGTCAGTTGAGAGTGAATCCAGCCACTGTCCCTTTCGTCCTGTTCTGCGGCTTGAACCAGGCTTGGTGTCTCGGTGCAAGTGGGTTTGAGATGATGCCAGGGCAGGGGGGCGGCAGGTCAGTCAAATAAGGCCTGGCCGTCCAGTCTTGAGAATTGATGGCGATGGGGGTCGAGGTACTTGGCCACGGGCGGGTCTAGAGCCTGTCTAGGGCGCTTTACCGAGGAAGGGTCTCCGGGTATGAAGTATCGAGCTGAGAGCGAAAAACAGGTGGTTGCGGACAGGGTGAAATGAAGAGCAGCAGGGGAGAGAATTCTTTTTACCTAACGAGAATCCCACTGAGGAAATGTCGTGCTCATAGTGTGCACACAGCCCCCCCAAAACGGAAACCTGAGTCGACGATGGGAGGAGCATGACAGGATTCACACCGGGCTGTTCTCAGGGGCAATGGGCTGGATGAGCGGGATTGGCATGAAGGGGCAAGTATGGGGAGCCAACTGTCATTCTTCATTTGACGACGCGCTCCAGACATTTCTGGGGGGGCGCGGATGCGTGGGCTTGCATTCCTTCCCCTGGGAGGTGCGTAGAGGCTTGCTGTTTGAGGCTCACGCTCCCTCTGATTTTTCTCTCTAATGCGCACACACACACACAAACTCTCTCTCTCTCTCTGTCTGGCACACGCGCTTTTGCTTGGCTAAGAAAAAAATGTTTGGTAGTCTGCCAAGTGGGCCGAGGGAGGTCGATCAGAGGGGCAGGCTGCTCCGGGTTTATTGCTGGTCATTTTTCTGTCACATTGCATCTAGGTCGAGCGTGACATGCTAGCTAGTCGAAGCTTGTTGACATGATGACTGTTGGTGCTTGTTTGGGTCGGTCGGGGGTCGGGGGGCCATGGCCAAAGGAATTGGTCTGGGGTATTCTTGGCCTGAACGACTGAGAACGTAGCACGCATGTCTTGCAAGGGAGGGTTGGGTGGAGGGACGCTGACGCCAGCGCTGAGGGCAGGCCTCTACACAGCGGCTGGGGTTCCAGAATCAATCTCCTCGCTTGGGGAATGAATGGGGCTGCTGCTTACTGGAACTCGAGGCTTGTCAAGGCTTGGTATACCTGACTACTTTGGTATCTAGGTACCTACCTACCTAGGTGCCTGAGGTAGAGTACATACTTTTGTGTACCTTTGGCACCTGTCATGTACGTACCTACCCTCGTACTAAGGCATGGGAAGGTACGACTCAACGCGATCGCCCCCGTCGATCGCGGTAGCCACCATATTCATGTGGGGAGCGCCTCCTGCCCCCAGGCCACCTGGGCTGAGGATGACTTCCATCGTACGTGGTGACGCCTCGTCTCCTCTTCCCATTCTCCCATTCTCCTTACTTCCCGTTGGCATCCGGAACCCAATTCCCATCAACACAACCCCTTTGCTCCGCCTGCTCGAAGCCGCAGTTGGCTACCGGCTAATGGCCAATGGGCCATCGACCGCCACAGACCACAACTCAATCTCCTCTTGGGACAGATTTCCACGTTGTCGGACGATTCAGAACTGCTAGTCGCAAAGGAGACTGTGGAGAAGCAGGGCAAAGACAGTCGGTCGCAAAATTGCAGTTCAAAACACATTGATGATTGACACAGGCAACCATCAGAATCGAACCAGCGGGCCGCGAACTACCATACACACATTGCTTACTTGCTACGCCCCATGACAAGGGTGGATTGGGAAACGCCCAGACACAGGCCAAGCTTCGACATTGATACAGGCCAAGCTTTGTCCCCGAGCGTCAACCCACCACCCACAACCACGATCACCACATCGCCCAGACAGGCGTACACACACACACACACACGCACGTACGCACGCACTCTTTCCTCGCTCATACTGGCCCCTTCCCACCAGCAAGGCGGCATGGGAAATAGGACGAAATATGAAGACTCGTTCCAGCCGTGCCCCCCTTACGCCCGCCAGCGACCCTTGGCTGTCTTCATCATCCCTCTTCCGAGCAATTAATTCCCCCGTCGAGGCCTTGGCCCTCTTAATACCCTGCCCATCCCGCCGCCGCGCCCCCCCCTGAAGAACTTTGCTCGCTTGGCTTTTTAGTGGCAGTCTAATGGCGATTGACACTGCGACGAAGGCCTTGACTCTTCCGTGCTCACACACGCTCTCTCGCTCTCTCTCCCTCTCTCCTTTCCCTCCCTGGTCGACCCGCCCTAACGTGACCTTACTTGCTGTGCCTCCCCCATTACCTCATACCTTTCCTGGCCCAGTCATCCCAACTCTTTCTCTCTCGACCTCGCAACGACGCCCCTTCTCTCCGTTTGAGAGCGCGTTCGTATAACCCGGCTGAGCCATGCCGTACTGCTCCTAACCTTAAGCTTCTTCCGACCTCTTCCCCTTTCATCCCCCCCACGCCCCCCATCATGGCATACTCTCCGCTGCCCGTTACGGAGAACGCGGCTCCCCCGCCGGCGCCGGCTCCGGCTGGGTCGACGTTACAGACCGCCATCTACATGGTGTATGTTGCTTCACTTGCCACTATCAAGTGCAATCTCTCGGTGCTAATGACGAAGATAGCCTGTGGATCATTTCTTCCAACTTTACCATCTTGTTTAACAAGTATCTCATCGATACAATCGGTTTTGGTATGTACAAGCTCTCATCTGCCCCCTTAAGACGCGCTCATGAGCTGACAATACGCCAGGTTATCGTACGTTGTTCTCACGATTTACACGCTGACCCACTTGCACCTATGAACGCACGTCTAACAGGCTCTCTCTCTCTCTCTCTCTCTAGCTATCCTCTTGACCTGCTGGCACCTCGTTTTCGCTGCTGTCGTCACCCAGATTCTCGCCCGCACGACGACCTTGCTCGACAGTCGCCATCAGCTGCCGATCAGCGGCCGCTTTTTCATCCGTACCATCCTACCCATCGGCATCGTGTCATCGGGCTCTCTCGTCTGCTCCAATGTCGTCTACCTCTATCTCTCCGTCGCTTTCATCCAGATGCTCAAGGCCGCATCCCCCGTCGCCGTCCTCTTCACCTCCTGGGCCATGGGCGTTGCCGACCCCACCATGACCGCCATCGTCAATGTTCTCTGCATTGTCGCTGGTGTCGGCCTCGCCAGCGCCGGTGAGGTCGACATGTCCATGGTCGGCACCGTCATTCAGCTCGCCGGCATTATGTTCGAGGCTTTGCGCGTCGTCCTCATTCAGAAAATGCTCAGCAACGAGGGCCTCAAGATGGACGCCCTTGTGGGCCTGTACTACTACGCACCTGTGTGCGCAGTCATGAACCTCGTCGTCGGCGCCGCGCTCGAGATGCCACACTTCAAGTACGAGGATCTCGAGCGAGCAGGGTTTATGATGCTCATACTCAATGCGGCTGTTGCCTTGCTTCTCAACTTCACCAGCATGGTCTTGGTCAGTCTCATGCCGCGCTCCCGTACATTCTGTTGCTCAAGCTGCAACAAGACACTAACAGGTGCAGATTGGCAAAACTTCTGGCCTCGTGACTACTCTCACGGGTATTTTCAAGAACATCTTGCTTATTGGCTGCTCCGTCCTCTTCTGGCATACCAAGATCTCTACCATCCAAGTTGTCGGCTACAGTGTCAGTCTGGCGGGCCTGATTCACTATTCTTTCGGCACGGAGAAGATCCTCGGAGCCCTCAAGGGAGCCTTGGCCATGGTCACGGGCGCTTTCGGGGCAGCATCGGTCTCGGGCGAAAAGTTCCGCCCGTCGCGGCGCATGCGCATCGGACTGGTCATTGCATTCATCACACTATTGAGCATATGCATCTTCTTGGCGTACATGCGGCACATTGAGGCGTCGCCTCTGGAATGGGTTTGGTCAACAACAGGAGGGACGGTATAGAAAATGAGCTATGATTTGAATAATGTGAGTGTGTGATGGCACCGGTTTATCGCCAGACATTTTTTTGGTGTTTTTGTATTTGGCCTCGGTATAGAAGCTTCATTTCCGAGCGTGGCACTGGAATGCGAAGGTCGTTGTGGTCGCGAAGCACGCCAATTGAAGATTTCAACTGTCGGCGCGGGTAGCTCCCGCAAGGGCAAGGGTGATGTAACGCTCCATCGCGTGTTCGCTTTGCGCTACGAGATCGTGAGTAGCACCGCCTAAGATGCCTTAAACACTCAGTTCAATAGTGTCCATGCCACACGCGATTGAGGCCTGGGCCGCGAGTCTGTCTGTCTTTGCTAACACGTCTGGCAGCTGGTTGGTGTGGGGTTGGTCCCGCGGAGGTGTCCCACCTCAGGCCTCCCTTTCCCTGTCAGGGCACTACCCCTGCACAACGCCCATCATCTTTCACCTACCCCTGAGCCCCTGAGCAGCACAGCATACTAGGAATACACAGATCGTTCGCATGTAGTACTGTCGGCCGTTATGAGCAGTTCCCAGAAACGTCATGTCTGTCCCAATCATGGCGACTCGGGCTGAGAAGATGCGAAGTGTAGACATTTGAGCGATAGATTCACAGGTGGGCTCACAATGAGGAACTGGATCCTCATTGCGGTGTCGTGGCATTTGATCGAAACAACAAGCTTGAGTTACGAGCTTATGCTAGTCTGTGACAGTCGTCGACTGACTCTGGGAGGGGGGTTCAACTCCGAGGATTGATCAACACCCTGGCAGCAAATGCAGTGGCCGACCAACCAGGGGTCCCTCGACCACAAAGTAGCCGTGAAGCAAATAGGCGACGCCTAGCGGCTGAACCACTGAGGCAGTGGCTGGCTGACTGCCCGGCGGCGAGGCTTTGCCACGCGCAAATGAGCGCTCGAAGGGATGACCGTATTCAGCCCTGTCAGCGTCTGATTCTCCGCGTCGGCATTCCCGC